TTCTACCGTTTTTCACCAGGCCAAAACATCGAGAAGGCATACTGTCACTTTTGTTTAAGTAAATGGGTCAGAACATAACAAGTAGCACTGATTGTTTTCCAGCGGTTGACTCAACCCTAACCGGTGTAAATCAAGAAGCAAAAGACAGTGGAGACTCAGGTGATGAACAGCCCAATCTGGGATTATTTCAAATAACGAGCGAACCACTAGCAGAAAATGTGATTCAATTCACGAGTCTCCGCTCAGTTACCGAGTCGTCACTGTGCGTGTGTGTGTGCCTGTGTCCGCTGTTGAGTCTTGCTCCTGGAGCATGGGTTCTCGGTTGCCTGCAGCCAATCAATGAAATGGCGCAACTCGATTGGCAGCGAGCTCTCGCGAGGCTGGTGCCAAAACACGCGCGGCGTGCAATAGCACGGTATCGGTGAGACCCGCGTTTATGAATTTATAGGTTACCCTTGCTGTCAGTATAGTACATGCATAAGTACTCGTGTCCTCATTTTATTGGCCGGAAGGTGACTTGGTTACGCCGACAAACAGATCACAAGTCTTTCGGTAAGGATACCCTGTATGACCGCCTAAACACAACACCAGACTCCAATCAGGGGCATTCCTGACTAAATATTAGCAACATTACAATCATTCAGATACACAGCTAGAAGAAGTAGTGTAAGCAGTAGTTGTAATAGTAGAAATACGAAACTCGGACGCCTCTAGTATTTCTGTGCACCTACTATGGGTGAGTGAGGATAAATAGTGATATTTTATTGGCGCAAAAGGCTACTGTAGCACTATGTGACATGACAGAACCTGCGCTACTAATTAGTAACATCTCGTTAACAATAAGATAACACAACCTGATGGATAGAGTTGAGAGGGCGGAAACCAAGGAAAGCGCTGATGTGCTAGTATCACCATTATTATGAATACTACCAGCATCACTAATATCGCTCTATTCCCGCTGCAGTGTCCTAGACTGTCCTACTATACCTACCTGGTAGTGTATTGTCGTACTACTACAGATATATACTTTAGTAGGCCTAAATGTAGTCAATAAACGCCAAACTGCACAACATAAGGGCATGGTAGAACTTGTACAGTACTTTACAAACACTCTATTATTATCCAAATACTAAGCACTATCTCACACAGATTGGGAGTGCATACTGGGTGCGACTTCTTAAAAAGCACACACAGGTAGTACTTATAGTATAACTATCTACTGGCCTTAGTAAGCATGATTACAATAAATTAACACTTTTAGCATAGGCGCGTACCTAAAGCAGCAGTATCTTAGTCCTTACAGCTCTATGAATAGAGTTGAGAGTGCGGAAACCAAGGCAATCGCTCTTGTGCTCAGAGTCCCATGCATGTACTTACTCGAAATAGTCTTAACCCAGATTCACACTCCTCGTTGAGACCAAGGGAATATCAGCCCTTGCGTGGCTGAATCAGCATCACCTCTGACAAATGGTGACGTCAGTGCTAGCACCAGTACTACTGCACTTTTTGTTGATA